TTCGCAAATAACTTGTTTCCTGTCCATTTTTCTCCCATACATGTGTGATCTTGTGTCCAACAAGTGTCTGTGGTTTGTGTTTTATGAGTGAATGGACTGCAGTTGTGGCTGGCAATGTAGAATGTGTCTGTGGTGTCTCCTGCGGTTATGTAGATCCGGGAAGCTGTGGCCTATCTATATCTTGTGTCCGTGGAGCGTGGGGATCTTGATGGATCTGTATAATTTCTAAAATATTTTTGGTTTCAATGGAATGTGGTTTCCTGTTGCTGCTGAAAGCAAAAAGATGTTTGTGGATGTTAGGTGAAGGTGTATTCTGTTTCCATGACGTGATCTGTGTCTTGAGTGCTGTGATTTTGTCCTGTTTTGATGGTATGTCTGATAGTTTGGAGCATACAATGTCACTGCTGGTCCACAATCCACCATGACTCTGAAGAGAGTTTCTCAATGATGTGTCTTTTTTGTGCTTGTTTTCCCTCTTCTTTGCTGTTGTTTCTTGACGTGTCTTTAAAATGTCATGTATTGCTGTGTTTAGATGTTGTGTTCTCTCCTTCTGTTGTGTAGCTGCTTGGGTGTATCCTTTCCTGGCGGTGTGTATGACGTTGTGTTGCTCTTGTTTTTGTTGTTCTTTTAACCAATTTTGAGTGTTGTTGTTGTTGTACATGATGCATGCTTCTCTGTTACTGATAGTACAATTTGGTGCTCTTTTCATGGATGAATCCAATTGGGCCATCAGACGCTCCAGCCCTATGGTATTGCTGGGACAGCTTCTGGACACCAATTGCAAATGATCCTTTGCAGAGAAGTATTTCCCATCCTTTAAAAACTCTCTTTGAAAAAAAGCACATTTTAAAAGATGATGTGCAAGAGATTCGCCTTGGAATACTGAAATGTGTTCAACATTAACCACTTGCTTTTCTTGACACTTCACCACTTTTTCGCACACCTCTGAAAATTGCAAAAGTGGATGGACACAACATTTGAATTCCGAAATTTGCTTCAAAGAGTCCTGTTCTTCAGGTTGCTAATTGTTGTATTCAGTTAATACGTTTGGAAGGGTTTGTTCCTTAAATATTTGAAGCAATTTATTCACCTTTAGTTCTGTGGCGCTTCGGTCAGTCATTGCATTGGCAATTTTTGTCATCAACGTCCCATCATCATTAATGTCATTGAGACAATTTTTCGTACACTGCATAAGCACATCTGCAGTTCCGCAGGAAACTTCCTGTAACCCGATTGTAAATGATTCATTTTCAGATGAAAGTTTGGCACCATAATAATGTTTGCCAAGTTTTGTTGTTGCACCTCTTTGAATCGTCAGATTCTCGCTATTTTTAAGTTGGTTACACACATGTTCTTTCGTTATAATCCCCATTTCTGTGACAAAATGAGCAACAGTCGCCTTGCTTGGGTATTGGTCTATAGTATAACCTAAGTGTAAAGAAACAGAAATAGATAGAAAAGAAATGGACTTAAACACAGCTACAGGCAGAATATCAGTGTTTGATTCATAAAAACCTATTAAAAGGTTAAAACATATGACGCCTGTGACCTTGAACGTCGAACAAGGGCATAAGGTTGAAAGTGGGTCAAGGTCATTCATTTCAACACACTTGGTAGCCCTTCATCCCAGCATGCTACTGGCCAAATATCATGAACCTCGACCTTTTACGGACGGACGGACGGACGGACGGACGACGGATGCCGCACCATGCCATAAGCTCACTTGGCCCTTCGGGCCAGGTGAGCTAATAACCCATGACTAACCATGTAATACATGTACACTACCACCAACCTCTAGCTATTCCAACTTCAATTTTGATAATATTTCCAGGTGAGTAATACAGGCCCTATGCTTCTCTTGTTGTATCACCATATTGTTGATGATGTAGTGATTTCATTTCCACAAGGGCTTTAAGTTTGTATAATGTAAAATATTGAAATATTTCAGGTGGCAGAAAGAAGATGAACGCCAGCTTGGTATGCCTGTATTACAACATTGTGTGTTCAGTGAAAGACAAAACCAAATGGAATTCAAATATCGAACAACAACCTACAAGCAAAATATCACTATTAATGACTATGAGTCATTTAAAACAGCCTGTTAACAGATTTTAAATCGTTTGACCCATGAGACGTTGATTTTCGAACATGGTCATTATTTTGAACAAATGTTATAGCCTTTCATTTCATCATGCAAGTTGCCAAATATCCCCATCCTAGACCTTTTGGTGGNGTCTTTGCACCTCCGAGCGACTTAACAGTGTCACTACCGAACTTAGCGGTATCTTCTGCTTTGATCCCGAACACCAGCTGACTGACTCAAGTGTCTGTGAGATCAACAAACAATTTTACGCCTGGATTTTTCACCAATCAACCTTCTCCGGTTGCACGATCAACATCAACAACATGCCGGACTGTAAATATAACTCTGACCCGATTACTGCGGGCTTCCGTTGAGTTCGTGCGCCGGATATAGGTCGCAATAAAATCGGAAAATGTTTTACGACACTTGATTAGTTACTTACAAAATGTCATTTGTTATTATTTATGAATCGAGAATATGATATATATATAAATCAAAATCAAATGAATTATTAACGAAAATTGCGGAGTCTTTTCAATTNCTAACTTCTTGAACTTTGGTCTGAACTCCTCTCCCCTGTAAATGTGTGGTCAACTTATATTAGTTATCATATTAATTCTTAAATCATTTCTGTTGGATTGAGATATATATCAATACTTATACATGTACAGTGCTTTGTTTACTCTTGTGGAAAGTGAGTTTTGGAGCCATCACAAATTTAATATATTAAGAATTGTGTTAATACTACAGTATTTGCTGCACTGAATAAAATAATTTCCACATTAAATTATACACCATATGTCTGAGCTTCTTGATGTAAACCTTTTTTTAATAGAAATAATACAATCATACTAAGATGAATAAAATATTGATTAAGATTTCAGGTGAAGGTGGTGTTTTTTTGAAAACCAGAACAAAACGGACCTTTTAGAATGACCCTCAGGAATCGAACCTGATGACCGACAGTCAAACCAAAACAGTCATGGTTTCAAAATTGATCCAATTGTTCTGTTTTCTGTCCTCAAAATATTATCCACAAAAGGTTGAATTTGTTTACAGTGAACTGAAATTGGTGTACATGTCCAGTGCAGAAAAAAACTGACACATTCACATTTCAAGAATTTGTATATTACATCATGTTTGATTATATTTTGCATCTGAGTGTATATATAATAAATGTGTATGTGTGTGTGTGTATATATATATATATGCAGAATTTGCCAAGCATGTACACTAGGAGATACATTTGGACCAGGGGGAAATTTCAGTGGATAGGAGGGAACTTATTTGAAATTCTGGAAATACAACTGTCCAAGTGGGGACTTTTCCTCGAAAATATGGTAATGATTTCGCCAAATGTATTCCCTAGCGATATTACAACTTAACCATATGTATATGTAATATTAATGTTCCAACTCTGGAAAAGACTTGTGAAGAGTTGCATTGTTTTGTGTGGTCTCCTCATATTAGTTAAAACATAATCAGTAGTCCAAGGTGACACAAATATTACAAGCAAGATGTATATAGACACATTGTTTTTTTCAGCTTTATAGTGTTGCATGACTTTCAGTTAATCCTTGATTTATTTGGCAATTTCAAAAGTCAAATAATCTTTTCGCTGAAATTTGAAAGGTCGATATATATATATATGTAAGTCAGAAAGACATGCCATATTTCAAACCTACAAATCAATGATCACTTTGAGGAGTCAAATACATGTATTCTAGAGTGCGTAATGAAAGTCCTGTTATTGTATCACAATGATGTAGTAAAATGATGATGATGATGAAAGATATTTATTGGTTATCAAGGTTTGATTGAAGATGCTTAAGTTCTTTCTGTCAGTGTCATTGCTTATTTCTAAATTGGATAAATGGTATTAAAATGTCAAACAAGTGCCAGCAGTCAGCATGAACTTGTAGTTTAGATTTGCTTCGGGTAAAAATGAAGCATTGTCGACATGGGTTTGATGGTGTGAATGTGATTGTATATATGCTTGCACTAAAATTTCTTGAAAAAAATCATTTGTGTACACCACCAAAAATGGTTTAGTTATATGTCACACAACCTGCATAAAACAAAACATGCTGCTATTGATAATCACACTCCACTGAAATAGTAAGGCAAAGAATTTAGATGTCACTTTTTTGAGAAACTACAGCTACAAGTACAATGAATAAATGAAAATATTGGATCTTGTTACCGTTCCTTTTAATAAGATCATATCATACTGACCTACATATACCCCCCCCGAAGAACATAATACTTAGAATGATGGCGATGGGGGGCGGATTCTGGGTGGGCATATATGATATTGTATTTTCCGTCCGCTATGTCTTTAAATGAAACGTCTTTTATCGTCAATTCCAAAATTCCGTCTTCGTCAGGGTTAATGTCTTCGGAATTGTCATCGTCAAACTCCCCCTCCGTCATAAATGTTTTGCTTGATGCACCCGACATATAGCATGCAGATATTCCCTTTTCTCGTAACCCCATCACTTGGTCCTCCATAATGCTGTTCAATGGGCAAATTATCAGGACAATATCATTGATATAAGGCGTTGCAGAGTTATGCTTTCGCTGGAACATCCAGGGCAGCAACTGGAAAATAACACTTTTACCATAGCCAGTAGGGAGAACACTCACGACATCGCGTCGTTCATATAAATTTCGAAGCGTATCAAGCTGCTTTTCCTTCATATGACGTTGAAAATAGATTTGTGTTTTCGCATACTCCACACATGTATCGAAGTCCGCCATATTGTATAGAAGTACACCGGCGACTTACTTGTTGATCCTTACACCGGAAAACCTTTTTGGACAAAATTTGTCTGTATTACTCCGCCTTCTACTCCCGAGGTATTTTCTCGTTTACGGAAAGTGCCGACGGTTCCCGATTGATGATTGAGGTGTCGAAACCACAATCGCTGGAGTTATGCCCCGTGGTAACACGAACCAAGGGAGCCCACTCTAATGTACAAAAATATGTAGGGATTTCACAACGAACGTGTCAACATTTATTTCGGTGCTTTCTTGTTATACTTACCTGTTTTGTCGACAACACAAGAATCGACGGGTTGTTTTGGTGTTTTAACGTTCCGTGATCACACGTAAATACAGTAATTCAGTAACTTCAAAGGGGAAATTTGAAATGAATGTGGACATTACCTGATTACAGACCGTTATTGACATTTTGCCATGGCTAACGATGAACAGATAGAAGAACTGGAGGCTCTGAGATCCATCTACGATGCTGATTTTTCAGGTAAAGTATCGAATGACTATAATAAAAACTTAAAAGATTTACTGAACAAACTCGAACTGTGCACGGATGTAGTACATTGATAGTCTTTTAAGGTGTTTATATCACGGATTTGGATCTAATGTAATCATGTGCTTAATACATGTAGCCGGTTCCAATATTAGGGCAATATTAATATACCACTCAACAATGTCTTAGGGTTCTGTTCTGTTGTTTATTACGGGGCAAATTCTCCGAAAAACGCTAATCTACAAATAACAAATACAAACCATAAATACACATTCGCCCGTAAAAGAACACACACATATAACATTCACTCAATTTAATAGTCACTCAAACTAATATAGTATTAAATTGCTATAAGAGAAAATAGAAAAGTAAATAGCCACTATATAAAATATAATATGCACATACCTGTAATACAAAATATTGTAATTTTTGTATATGGTTACAGATAAATACTTTTCAACGTTTCAACATGTTGCGAAATCATTAACTAGCATGTTATTTAGACTGTCGAGTTCAAAATATCAATAAATTTACAGGAGTGAGGACGATTGCTAACATATTATGTTATATGCATACCGTATGTTTAACTTGCAATAATTAAGTGAATAATTACTTCATTTATTTTATGCAATATAATTATTACTGAAGATAACATTTATAAGCTTTTGTCAATAACAGAAAAATATGCTTAGTTCCCATTGGCTTTACACGTACTAGATACACATGTAACGTTTGTAGGAAACATACTCTGTTATATCTCTACACTTCACAAAAGTTTTACGAGAATAAATACATTGAGAGACATTTATATTTTTCACTTGAGTTTTGGTTAACTATATGATATAGATTATATGAGATGTGGAATCAATATACATGTACATTGTCATTTTGTTTCAGAACTGACGTCAGTTCCTCCCTGCTTTATGGTAAAACTAACAGACCTGTCGGTACAGCTTTCAGGTGAGCTTCCTTTTAGATTTGTGAAGCTATAGATAATACCAAACGAATTCCATTTGCAGCAGTCGGAAAAGAGTTAATTCTTACCAGTCCATGGTCAGCCAAATTAATTTTGATTGTGTGTATATTTGCACAAGATTGACACCATGCTAGCGATCACAAGTACATTTCTGCAATTCCATGTTTTGAATCGTTTATAATAGATATAACGCTCCATGTTTTGAATCGTTTATGATAAACATGACGCTTGGATAAATGATTTACACATGTCTTACATTGTACCTAGATAAAGTCAGTGGCACATATGTCAAGGGCAGATAACCCGTTAACACAACTTGTTCTCACCTCAAAATAATATTTTTTACTAACTATTCAATATAACATTTTATGTTCTGAACGTTCAGGTCAGGTGAATATTAAGTTCACGTTGCCAAATGATTACCCTGCCGAAATGCCGATGTTTGAAGTGCCAATGAGGTCGCGAGTACTGACACCTGATCAGGTGGCCTGTATACTAGAGGAACTCCGAGCTTGTGTAAGAGGAACTCTGAGATGTTTCATATTATTTCGTGTCTAGATGAAGAAAAAATATACTGATTTTGTAAGTTTCATCTTAATAGTTAGACTCCATTATAGTGTAAACAGTAATTTGATCAGTGAAAAAGAACAAGTTGTTTCGCCTGACAACACAAGTAAGATACAATGTGACTGAAAGCAAGCTTTCGTGTGAGTTAGACTCTCTTGCTAAGCAAGTTTTACTAATCATTAGATAACATTTCTGTTTCACTGTCAAGGCGGAAGAAAACATTGGTATGCCGATGATATACAGCCTGATGGATGCTGCCCAAAACTGGATCAATAAGAACATCACGGAGGTCACCGACAATGACAAGGTCAGTAACGTCTCAATCAAAAGTTGGTTGTCATGTGGAAAAAGTCAATTATATCAGTCACCGCACTATGTTGGTAGCTTTTGTTTTTGTTTAACGTCCTTTTAACAGCCGGTGTCATTGAAGGACCATCCTCGATATCCAGGGGTTACGCTCACTTTCGGTCTCTGCACCCTTGGAATATGCCATGGCAAAATTGAAGGCACGAAGATAGCTGTTTGATTGGTCTCAGGTAAAAAAAACCTGACCAATCGCTAGGCTGATACCTGTTCTTTGAAGATTACAAAGGAGAGACGCCCAACTTCAAAGCCTGTCAATTTTTACCGTTACGTGACCGCGAGATTCTTTTGATGTACAGTACATCAAAGGATCGAACTAGTCTTCTCGTCCCGTCCACAAGGTGGCGCACACCGAGCCTTCAATTTTGCTATGACATATCCCAGGGGTGCAGAGAGCGAAAGTGAGCGTAACCCCTGGATATCGAGGATGTTGAAGGACGTGCCTCTATATGTGTGATGAATGCGTGTGTGTGTGTGTGCTCGGGGCGGCTTGTTGGTGTATTCTCTTCCTTGTGATAGCGTGATTGAGATGTCGACTTTATAGTGCTACCTACTTAAATACCATGCCGAATGCACTCAACATATTATTCAACCCGGTCACATTATACTGAGACAGAGTGAACCAATTGTTGCCATTACCCGAAATGCGAAAGTGAAGCAAGGAATAACAACTACCATTTTTAAGGACTTGAACATGTCCCGGACTTTGGACAGACCTCATTGCCTTCTACACTATGGTCAAAAGTGAGGTATTGCCAAGGAAGGCGCTAGGGAACATAAAGGTTGATAGAAAGCGGAGAGAACATACAGATCGCATATGTTGTAATGGGCGCAGCAGTGTTCCAAAGTAAAGAGCTCAAAAGCAAATCCCCAATTCTCTAGAGGGTTCCCACATTAGTTGCGTCTTATCACTACAACATGCAGTGGGTAAAACAGGTATCAATCCTAAACCCGCGTGTAGCCCATGCCAGTTAAGTTTTATATAATGATTTATGAACACAAACGTTTCTCCAAAACATCTTACAATGTTTACTGTATACAGGAGGGAGAAGAGAGTGTCGAGGAGGTGACCCTACACACAGTGAAACTGGAGGAGCCCAAAGTCAGCGGTGGTAGATGGGAGTATGTCATCGGACTCGTGGTAAACGTCAATATTTCTTTCAACACATAGGCCTAACCGAAGCAGTAGTATACCACTGGTATTCATCAAAATGTTTTTTAATTTCTATTTGTTAAGAAACTATTGTTTCATAATGAAATTTTATTTTGCGAGCTGCACCTGTAAGTATCCACAAATGTATAACCAGTAGCAACGAAATAATTATATTTTCAGGGGAAACCTTCGGCAGGGAAGTCAACGTTTTTCAATGCAGCCACCACTGTAGATTTAGCCAAGACAGGAGCACACCCGTTCACTACTATAGAACCGAATATTGGCAAGGCGTTCTACTCCATAGACTGCCCGTGTGACCGACTGGACACACTGTGTGATGCAGGTAACTTTCGTTGAAAAAATATAATCGAACAATTAAAATTCATGATCATGAAATACTTTTTTTCCATCCATAGACGTTGTTTTGTTATTGCGGATTATTTTTATTTTTTTTACCAAATATGCAAATTTTATATATGAGTATACGATGTTGTTTACATTTGTTAATGTGCAGCACATGGTCATAACTTCCGGAGGAAGCGGCACGTTCCAGTGCTACTGAAGGACGTGGCAGGACTGGTTCCCGGGGCATGGGAGGGTAAGGGACGAGGAAACAGATTCCTCAACGATCTATTGGACGCCGATGTGCTAATCCACGTGATTGACGCCTCGGGTACGACCAATGAGAAAGGAGAAGAGTGTCAAGGATACGATCCAGCCAATGACATTCTCTGGCTGCACCAGGAAATCCAGTAAGGGCTATACCTACATTGATATGAAAAGTAATATGTCTCTCCATACTGTCTTACCAATTGCTCGGCCACTGGTACTGACAAGAGAATTACCTAAATAGAATGCATTCAATTTATCTGTTGGTTTAAGAATCGAATTCTGATGTTACACGCCATCAAAGGTTATATTACATTACATGATCAAAGTGATTTGTTATCTTTTTCAGTCAGTGGATTTTCCAAAACGTCTGGAGTAGATGGGACTCCGTAATCAAACGTCCATCTAAGCTGATTGACATGTTTACGGGTTACCATGCCAACAGAGCTACCATACACACTGCCTTACATAATGCTGGGATAGGGGATAGGTATGTACTGAAAACGTTGTGAAAAAGATAGGAGACATTTTGATGGGTGTCACATGATGTGCAGGGTTATTTCAGTGTTTACAAAGTCCCATCTTCACCCCTGGAATATGTCACAGCAAAATTGAAGACTCGAAGATGACTGTTCGATTGGTCTCAGGTAAAATAAAAAAAACTGACCAAGTTTGCTATGACATAGTCCAGGGGTGCAAAGAGTGTAAGTGAGCGTAACCCCGGGAGTATGGAGGATGACAAAGTCCTTGCGCAAAAGCTAAACATACACTACGACGGGTGCTTAGGAAGAAACTACTAAAAAGGAGTAGATATGCCAGGAAAGAATGGGTTTCTTGTGTTAAAATTGGGGAAGCAGATCAATTTTGGTCTCTTTGGTCTGTTTTGTGTCTCACAAAAAAGAATGTAATACTGGAAACACCTTCAAAAGAACATAATGTTGCTTCTGTTTTATTAAGGTAGGGAGGGGTATTTTATAATGTTTCCATTTCATTTGTAACCTCAGTTCTTTGTTGCCTTTGTTTGGTCGCATCCGAGTTCTGATTTAAGCTAGGATACCTTTGTCCTAGTTTTACAGACATCCCCAAACTGTAGTTTATGTCTCACACTCCACAAATATTTTATTTGTATATAATCCAAAGAGCGAACCATCCTTACAATTAGGTTGTAGAGAACCGCATTTTGCTCAAGTTTACTTTGATCACTGATCCAGTACTTTCATGAGTGAGCTCCCTTTGAATTGGAACACACTTTATTACTAGTTTATCATATGCATACCTTACAGATACTTCTTACATTTTATGGTTTCTTGATGGATATATATTGAAACATTCTGAAACGCGAACGTTAGGGTTAAAGAGTCATGTTCGGATGTCATTTAGAAAATATGAGTACACTTACTTTATAGTGAGCTTGGTGGAATAGCAGGATGGAAGGAGTCGGTTCTACATCAGATCGTGGACCACTTCCTCCGACTCCGGTTCCCAATGTTACTGGTGCTCAATAAGGCGGACAAACCCGAGTCCACCGCCATTATACAAAGGTACGTTCACCGTCTCATGGAGGGGCAATGGGTAAACATGAACAACTATCCTACTTCATTGTAACATTTCATCCGTAAAACCTTCAGTAGTATCATTTGAAATTATTAAAGTTCATACTTTAAGGTGAATGTATAAGGAATCAAAATCCTGGCATGAACTGAAAACAAAACTCCGTTTATCCACCTTTAGATAATTTACGATAATGACTCATTCCACTGACACGTCTGCAAGCAAGCTGCAGGAGAACGTTAAAATCCAGTAGTGTATTGAAAACAATGTGCGCTATAGAAACGCCAATTTCTAATAGATAAGAATTTGTAGTTAAAATGTGTTTATTTATTCTGTGCTGTATTCTTGCAGTTTTGGATTTCTACTCGCTTTTAAAAGAAGCATATGCATCAGTTTCTCTGTTTCATGGTCAAATTCTAACAATACATCATTTGCCTTTCCCTGTTAATATAGTATTGTTTTGATATAAAAAAAATAAAACATTATTTTTTTCTTTATGCTTCAGCATAATTTATCAATTTATAGGTAAGAATGAATAACTCATTTTCTTATATGCCATTATGCTAATGTATGGGAAATTGAGATTAATCTCAGCTTATTTGCCTTTTCACTATAATACACTTCAACTTGTTTTATTTCTCCCAGACTACAAACAGACATGGCGGACTTTAAATCTATAGCGGTCAGTGCGAGGACGGAATGTTTGCTCCAGAAACTGTCCAAAAATGGCGCTGTGCAATATCAATACGGAAATGACCAGTTCCAGGTTCTTAAAGATACACCCGACACCCAGCGGACAGTTGTAGAACTACAACGGGTCTCAGCAGACGTCTTCAAACGGTAAGGGCCCAACATTGTTTGCAACTTTTTTAAGTGTTTTTCAAACATATCATATTATCAGGATTTATTTTTTATTAGTTTTATATTTTCATGGTTGAAGGTTATTTCTGATACTAGAATCGAAATATTTCTTAATAGAACATAATCATATTTATTTTTAGGGTCAATATTTCCTCAAACTTAAATAAGAAATAGCGAATTATGTAGGAATTTGTGCAATAAATAGCTCCATTTGACTTAAACATTGGTTGGATTGCAGAAAATAACTATAAAACATTTACAGGAAACGTGAAACTTTATATTAAGTTCAGACTGTTGTTAAGAACGTGATACAGGGACCAGGTGTGTTTCGTTTTGTATCTTCCGTGTTCATTGTTGATGATAAGCTAGGATTCTGGTTCTTGTAATCTGCACGATCTGGAAAGTATCTCTGATCACGTCTCTGTATCCTTTAATTAAGCTCACGGGAATAATTGTAGGAAGTGCGTGTACCATGTGGTTAGACATGATGGTATTCCGATTTATCTGTATGGAATAACAAAGATGGCTTCATCCATATCTACAAGTGAAACATGAGATTTTAATTTGTCTAATTTACATCTCACAATTCTTGTATGTAAACTTTGTCCATCAGTAGAAGCAGCATGTGTTGTCAATCTGTCTTTCGAGCACGACGTGAGACATATCTAACACGTGATGAAATGTTCTACGTTTCACTACAGTAGATGCATGGTCTAACAAATACACTAATGTCAGAAGTTCACTGTCAATGATAACGCCTGAAGTTTGGGAGAATCCCAGTCAGACGTTTAATGAGATGGTGTCACGTGATGTTTTGAAAATGAGACAACTATAAATGCTGGATAAGATTTAATTCCAAAGACTTTGCAACACCTTTGTACGGTTAATCACAAATGCAGTAAGAATCTGTCTTTCCGATTTAGTACGAAGTGATACTACCCTAGTTTGTGCGGGCCTCATGCGACACCGGTACGAGCTAATAAGATGATAAGTATTGATTAGGAATTGCTGCATGATGTAATACGATGTATTAAGACATGACACTACCACGAACTCACACGACCTTTTACAGTAGGAAAGGATGGGACGGGGGTGGGAAACGCGCGTGGGAGGATTTGCGTACTGGTTCGTGATCACATGGGGATTTACGTATTAATTTTGTGGTTTCGGGAAGGAATTTACAGCTTTTGATTTTTTACCGATTTCTTCTTGGCCGTGTGTAATTTTAATGAACGTAATCGGGGGAAAGAAATTTCCTTGGTCTTGAAGTGTTGGCTAATTTCAACTTTAAACATGCTTGTAACGCTATACCTGTAACGTGTGCATAGCAGCTCTTCCAGGGATAATATTTTGTTTTGGTAAGCCCTTTGCTTTGAGTTCCAGGGCTACAGCACTGAACATATGTTATGTATGCAGGTTGTTGTGTTATGATGCTGTCTGTTTTAATGGTCCCGTGTATAAATCTTGGGTATTTTCTGCTGTGCTAGCGATGTTAGTGACGTGTGCAAATTCCAGCAGAATTCAGATGCACGGTTAAGTCAAATATTGTGCGTTGTAGTTCTTATCACTGTTGTTTCTTACCATTTTTGCAACACATTGGGAATTTTAAGTATTAAAAGCCATCAACTTTTCTCTATTCCAATTTTCTAATAACTTGAAACAGTATGCAAAGATTCACCGAGTTAGATTCTAGTGTGTTGGTGGCATACATGATTATGTCGTCAGCAAAGAGGTAAACCTGGAGTTTTATGGAGTAAATGAGTCATTAAATGTACATTAAAACACATAGGTGCCGAACGGTTGAACACACCTGAAAATATTTAAAAAAACATAGGATTCATTATATTACTCAACTACTTTTTAGCTTCGTTTTTCTAGGAATTTCTTTATTCTTTTCAAAATAAGCGACTTGATTACAAATCGTTAAAGCTTTATATCTTAGTCTTCTGTGGTCCCCTTGTCAACTCCAAAACATTTTCTGCTCAGATATGGGTCGACGAACGTCCACGAGGCCCTGTGCGAGGCGGTCAGACTGCGGCCACCAACGTACGCTTTCCCTGTACATTGCCTTGACACACTGCGATCTGTTGGTCGGACCCCCCGCGAGGCGGTTTTACGCGACTGTGTATCCCTCCGACCCGGAACACGAGTTGAGGAACTACACACAACCCTGTGCCATTACCCGGTCAATCTGCTGTCCGGAGACTTCGTTAGAGCTGAGGTAAGCAACACAGTCCCGTGGACTAATAAACTATAGTACATACAGAACAGGGCTTTTACTTAAAAAAATATTGAAGACTTTTTACTAGGTCACCACGACCTGGTTTTGTGTCAAGACTTCTGAACATTCTGACGGGGCCACATATTATGCAGGACATACTTATCCGACTACATTCGGGTTTGGTGGTTGGTTCATGGTGTTCTTTTTTATTTCGGTGTTTGATAAGTTTCTGTTGTTGATGCTTTTTGCATCGAGTTTTAATTCAGAGCCGATATTTATGAACTTTTCCCATACACAAACTCAGCCTCAGTGCTTAAATTCAAATCGTGGTTTAAGGGAGAAATTGCACTATAGATATCAAATTTAAATCAATTTTCAATAGCTGTCAATATTTCCATGTTTTATCATAACGTTTTGACACGGTTGCAAGATTTTAGCAAGTTTCAGGGTAAGTTTCAACGCTAGCTTGTTTAAGCAGAAGGGCTTTACTAATACATGCCTAGATCCTGGCATTAAGTATTGACGATGTGATATAAATATTTGTTACATCAGTATATTAGTGACGTTCCACCCTTGTCTATTACAGACTTTGACGGAAGACAGAAAGCTGAAGCCGTTACGGAAGGACGAGGTGATCACGACTTCCAACAACATATTAAAGATAATGACAAACAAACGCACCTCCTAACACAAGGCACTATTTATTGTAATAAAATATTTTTTAACATTCGTTGAGTTTATGTCTAATCGGTTTGAAGACACTTAAGTTCTTTTAATGAGAAAGTGAAAATGTTATGAAACTCTATATAAAGAAGTGATCTTTAAAACACAATTAGCCGATGAAGATGCAAAATATATTCCGGCTCCTGTACCAGAACATGATTTGTTTGTACCACACACATTGCTCTTGGTAGTATAACATGAACACAACATGGTCCAGACATGTCGAGGAGCGTGTATCATTGTGAGTTATCTCAGACATCTGAGTTGGCACTCCACCGCTACAGCTACAGTAGATAACATTCTATAGTCTCTCGGTACAAAACAAACAGTTGCTGGTATTGTTATTTATCACAGGCGCTTAATTTTTTCTCGCCTTTTTCCTCAGGTTTTTACATTTGTCCACGATTTCATCTGTAACAAATCAAGAAAATATTGATGTATTCGCAAACAGGGACAGTTCTTCACTGCTTCAAAATCAATTTTATCTTGCCATCATAAAGTAAATTAACTAAGGGCCTGTATATTTCACCTTTTATTTGATAGTGTCCACAATACAGGCTGAATGTTGAAATGATTAACCAGAAAAGAGGTTGAAATTTTTACGAAGTTGAGAACAAGTTTTTTCGTCTCAGATTTCTTAATTACCCACGAAATTTCGATAACACTTGGTCAGGACACAAAAGACGTATTTGTATCGGGCAATGCAAGCCTACCACTGTGTACCAAGAATTGAGAGCAAGATGTTCCTACCGAGAAGTTAAATATGATCTAAAAGTGGTACATAACCGAGAAATTTGAGCTATTTAAACAAAAGCATACCAATCGAAAAGTTTGAGAAGTATTAATGAAGGCGTACCTAACTAGAGGTTGGACATGATTTGGACGGACTTCTTGCCGAGAGATTGGACATTTTCTGGATAAAGCGTACCTATCGACAGGTTGGATATGATCTGGATAAAGCGTACCTATCGACAGGTTGGACATGATCTGGATAAAGTGTACCAAGCGAGAGGTTGGACATGATTTGGACGGAGTTCTTGCCGAGAGGTTGGACATTTTCTGGATAAAGCGTACCTACCGAGAAGTTGAACATGGTCTGGATAAAGCGTACCTATCGACAGGTTGGACATGATCTGGATAAAGTGTACAAAGCGAGAGGTTGGACATGATCTGGATAAAGCGCAAAAACCGAGAGATTGGACATGATCTAGATAAAGCGTACAAACTGAGAGGTTGGACATGATCTGGATAAAGCGTACTGACTGAGAGGTTGGACATGATCTGGATAAAGCGTACAAACTGAGAGGTTGGACATGATCTGGATAAAGCGTACAAACCGAAAGGTTTGGCATGATCTGGAAAAAGCGTACAAACCGAGAGGTTGGACATGATCTGGATAAAGTGTACAAACCAAAGGTTTGGCATGATCTGGATAAAGCGTACAAACCGAGAGGTTGGACATGATCTCGATAAAGCGTACAAACCCAGAGTTTAGACAATATCTGGATAAAGCGTACAAACCGGGAGGTTGGACATGATCTGGATAAAGCGTACAAACTGAGAGGTTGGACATGATCTGGATAAAGCGTACAAACCGAAAGGTTTGGAATGATCTGGATAAAGCGTACAAACCGAGAGGTTGGACATGATCTCGATAAAGCGTACAAAACCAGAGTTTAGACAATATCTGGATAAAGCGTACAAACCGAGAGGTTGGACATGATCTGGATTAAGCGTACAAACCGAGTGGTTGTACATGATCTGGATAAAGCGTACAAACTGAGAGGTTGGACAATATCTGGATAAAGCGTACTAACTGAGAGGTTGGACATGATCTGGATAAAGCGTACAAACTGAGAGGCTTGACATGATCTGGATAAAGCGTACAAACCGAGAGGTTGGACATTATCTGGAAAAAGCGTACAAACCGATTTGTTGGGCATGATCTGGATAAAGCGTACAAACCGAGAGGTTGGACATGATCTGGATAAAGCGTACAAACCGAGTTGTTGGACATGATCTGGATAAAGCGTACAAACTGAGAGGTTGGACATGATCTAGACAGGACGTACAAGCGTACAAACTGAGAGGCTGGATCTGATCTAGATAAAGCGTACAAACCTACAGGTTGTACATGATCTGGATAAAGCGTACAAACTGAGAGGTTGGACAATATCTGGATAAAGTGTACAGACTGAGGGGTTGCACATTATCTGAATAAAGCGTACTGACTGAGAGGTTGGGCATGATCTGGACAGGGCGTACTTACCGATAGGTTGGACATGATCTGGATTAAGCGTACCTACCGAAAGGTTGGGAAGGATCTAGATGAAGCGTACCTACTGAGAGGTTGGGAAGGATCTAGATGAAGCGTACCTACCGAGAGGTGGGAAGGATCTAGATAAAGCGTACAAACCGAGAGGTTTGACATGATCTAGACAGGACGTACATGATCTAGAAAGGACGCACCTACCGAGAGGCTGGCCATGATCCAGATAAAGCGTACAAACTTAGAGGTTGGACATGATCTCGACAGGACCTACCTACCGAGAAGTTGGACATGAGATGTGCCGGGACATATTTTTCTTTCATTTGCTTAAAAAGCGCCTTGGACTTTTGATTTAGTCAGCACTCTGTTCAAATCTCCTGTTGTAGAAGGTTAAGCTCATGAATTTGGAGGAAGTGCAGTATATTGTGAATTTAAATTGGAATTGTTTTTCGGAAGGTGCAATGCTTTAAGTACATATGTGTGATATATAGTGCGACTACTTACTCCGTTCCAATCCCAGACAGGAGCCCCACTCCTTCAGCGAGATCTTACGGTCATTGTTGGCGTCACACCTGTTGAGGAAAGGCACCAGACATGGCTCCATGGGACGTAATGAGGCGATGACCATCTGAAGTTCTCTTCGGCTGACACGTCTGTGTGAGTAAATATCAATACCGTACCTTAGTGTATCATCGTATTGTCTTTATAATATACATATACTATTGTCTGTATAATATATACTTATAATATTGTCTGTATAATATATACTTATAATAATGACAAGAGTTATCACAAACTTTTCCTTTTATCTACTTAAATAACTTCAAAGTAGTTTCTCATACAATACACTGGTTAGAAATGAACCGTTCTAGTGTCAATTATACTTACTAGACAGTTCATCTGTGCTGTGAATAAGGTTAAGTTAACAGTGGATACGGAATTAAGGTTCAGGATCACACTTTTATATTAAGGCTATGACACAAGTTTAACTCTTTTGACATCAGAGTTTACTTGAGAGGATGAGAGGTCATGTTGTCGGCTTACCTGTCCTGAGGATGAGAGGTCATGTTGTCGACTTACCTGTTCTGAGGATGAGAGGTCATGTTGTCCGCTTACCTGTCCTGAGGATGAGAGGTCATGTTGTCGGCTTACCTGTCCTGAGGATGAGAGGTCATGTTGTCGACTTACCTTTTCTGAGGATGAGAGGTCATGTTGTCCGCTTACCTGTCCTGAGGATGAGAGGTCATGTTGTCGGCTTACCTGCCCTGAGGATGGGAGGTCATGTTATCGGTTTACCTGTCCTGAGGATGAGAGGTCATGTTGTCGGCTTACCTGTCCTGAGGATGAGAGGTTATGTTGTCGGCTTACCTGTCCCGAGGATGAGAGGTCATGGTGTCGGCTTACCTGTCCTGAGGATGGGAGGCTATGTTGTCGGCTTACCTGTCCTGAGGATGGGAGGCCGTGTTGTCGGCTTACCTGTCCTGTGGATGATAGGTTATGTTGTCGGCTTACCTGTCCTGAGGATGCGAGGTTATGTTGTCGGCTTACCTGTCCTGAGGATGGGAGGCCGTGTTGTCGGCTTACCTGTCCTGTGGATGATAGGTTATGTTGTCGGCTTACCTGTCCTGAGGATGAGAGGTCATGGTGTCGGCTTACCTGTCCTGAGGATGGGTGTCGAGTTCACAGAACTTCCAAAGGACGGCATTAATACGTTGATGAAGGCTATCAGTCAACAGCTCCTCGTAAGCTCCAAGTTCGTTGCGGGCAGCCTGGAACAGATAGAAATAGGAAGAATGCGTCTTGTTACCAATTTGCAATCAAAACATTAACTGTAATTTAGAATAAGTTCTTATTTACTACCTGAAATGATACCTTTGGACTCGATTGCATATCCATTTTCAATTCAACATATAAAACACGGCGAAGATATATTTCACTTATGAAGATAGTTGATATTGCCACATGTTTATTTTACGAATATAGTACACCTTCAAGAATATCAGGTCACATGTTTGCGCAATCTCGAAGAACGCCTGACTGACTCTATACTTCATAGAAAAATGTTGCAGCTGACGTCACACTGTTTGTTATTATTGTACCTCATCTATCTATATACCAATGTGTTTGGTCGGATTATATTGATGATATGATGGGAAAATTTTAAAATATCGTGTTGACCTGACGTGCTCGAGTTTCCCCGGTCATACCCTTATTCCGAGTCTCACTAGAAAAATTCGGCAAGATCTGAGAGACTGAAGCAGACGACAAGAAAGGCGCATCAACCTGACAATATTTACCGCTGTTTCAGTATAATTTATTCTTACATGCGCCTCCCCTTACCACGACGTCCATGATGATAGCGAGCCAACCCTCCATCCGCGCAGGAAACTGACTCATACCTACGTCATCACACCGCGGAAGGTCTGGTAAAACATACAGATAATAAAACAATGGTGTAATAATTTGAGAAAGGTTTTGTTTCATAGGCAACTTTCCAACTATTGTAGCACAAAATATCAGCTGGTTAATAACAATGATTAAGACATAGATAAATGTTGTTATAATGCGTCGTTCTGAATTAATCAGTATCTGAGAGCTAGGTATACAACATACTCTGACATGCTCCGAAGTAAATGAGCTTGAGTTTCTTAAAGGCGGGGTTGGAGCATTCGGGCGACTTGGCTTTACACAGGCAGGCCTCGCGGTCTAGGTGGCACTCGCTGTCAAAGGTCGTATTCTTGGAGCCACACACCTGTCAACAACAAAACATTGTAATGACATCGATCACAGATGACAAAGACAGGGATAGGATGAGGACGACTCTATCATTAGGAATCCATTTCTTATATGTTTTTCAAAACCAATTAGGTATCCATCCATATATGTCGAAAGATTATTGAGTTACTGTTGGATATTTACATTGTTTGAATGGATATTGAGTGCATATACATGTATTGTTTTGGAGGATCACCTCGAGTCAGAGGCTTGCTGAGCATTTACTTTGTGGCTGGGGATTGTTGAGTGGTTACCTTGAGTCTAAGGGTTGTTGAGAGCTTACATTGTGTCTAAGGATTGTTGAGAGCTTACATTGTGTCTAAGGATTGTTGAGAGCTTACATTGTGTCTAAGGATTGTTGAGAGCTTACACGGTGTCTTTGGATTTGTGAATGTTTGACTTCAGTCTGAAGATTGTTGAGTGATTACCTTTAGTCTGAGGATTGTTGAGTTACCTTTAGTCTGAGGATTGTTGAGTTGTTACCTGTAGTCTGAGGATTGTTGAGTTGTTACCTGTAGTCTGAGGATTGTTGAGGTACTTTTGGGCTGAGGATTGTTGAGTGATTGCCTTTAGTCTGAGGATTGTGGAGTGTTTACCTTTAGTCTGTGATTGTTGAGTTACCTTTAGCCTGAGGATTGTTGAGTTACCTTAAGTCTGAGGATTGTTGAGTTACCTTAAGTCTGAGGATTGTTGAGTGTTTACCATTAGTCTGAGGATTGTTGAGAGCTTACACGGTGTCTTTGGATTTGTGCATGTTTGACTTCAGTCTGAGGATTGTTGAGTTGTTACCTGTAGTCTGAGGATTGTTGAGAGCTTACGTTGTGTCTAAGGATTGTTGAGAGCTTTCACGGTGTCTTTGGATTTGTGAATGTTTGACTTCAGTCTGAGGATTGTTGAGTTGTTACCTGTAGTCTGAGGATTGTTGAGAGCTTACGTTGTGTCTAAGGATTGTTGAGAGCTTACATTCTGTCTAAGGATTGTTGAGATCTTACATTGTGTCTAAGGATTGTTGAGATCTTACATTGTGTCTAAGGATTGGTGAGAGCTTACATTGTGTCTCAGGATTGTTGAGAGCTTACATTCTGTCTAAGGATTGTTGAGATCTTACATTGTGTCTAAGGATTGGTGAGAGCTTACATTGTGTCTAAGGATTGGTGAGAGCTTACATTGTGTCTGAGGATTGTTGAGAGCTTACATTCTGTCTAAGGATTGTTGAGATCTTACATTGTGTCTAAGGATTGGTGAGAGCTTACATTGTGTCTAAGGATTGGTGAGAGCTTACATTGTGTCTCAGGATTGTTGAGAGCTTACACGGTGTCTTTGGGTTTGTGAATGTTTGACTTCAGTCTGAGGATTGTTGAGTTGCTTTTAGTCTGAGGATTGTTGAGTTACCTTAAGTCTGAGGATTGTTGAGTTGTTACCTGTAGTCTGAGGATTGTTGAGTTACCTTAAGTCTGAGGATTGTTGAGTTGTTACCTGTAGTCTGAGGATTGTTGAGAGCTTACATTCTGTCTAAGGATTGTTGAGAGCTTACATTCTGTCTAAGGATTGTTGAGAGCTTACATTCTGTCTAAGGATTGTTGAGAGCTTTCACGGTGTCTTTGGATTTGTGCATGTTTGACTTCAGTCTGAGGATTGTTGAGTTGTTACCTGTAGTCTGAGGATTGTTGAGTGTTTACCTTTAGTCTGAGGATTGTTGAGCTACCTTTAATCTGAGGATCGTTGAGTGTTTACCTTTAGTCTGAGATTGTTGAGTTACCTTTAGTCTGAGGATTGTTGAGTTACTTTTAGTCTGAGGATTGTTGAGTGATTACCTTTAGTCTGAGGATTGTTGAGTACGTACTTTGTGACGGGGGTTGTTGACATTTGAACAACTCTGCACACACACACACTTTGGTTTGTCGTCACGAATAACACAGTCCTCCCCTCTCTGACACTGCTTCTTGTTACAAGGGTCTACAACGAACGGAACCTTGGATATTAAGGCTGTAGAGAAGACGATTAAAATATTATAGTTACTATTATTTTTCTTAATGCATTTTGAACCATCGGTGCGAACAATTTTCCTTCCAGTCATAAAAGTTCTTAAGAAAAAAATAAGAACATTACACTCATTACTAGTTTTGTTAAATTTTTACTTATTCTTGATATATGTTGTAACTCCAGTATATCGACAAAAGCCAAGTTGTTCCTTGACATCCTTTATCAATTAGCAATACAAAACTTGTCGTATGGCTATACGTTTACTAGATCAGTTACAAACAATTGTACGCACACTTCGAATATCTCATTATATTTATTGGTTATGATGTAAGATGATTCTTTCTGCGATATATTTCGTAAATTTAGAAGAGTCCTGCGGCTTTAATCTAATTTACTCTGTCGTCACATTGCTGGGTTATGTTTGCAGACAGTTTGTTTCCAGCTAGAGAGCATGCTGTGCTGTCTGTCTGGATGTCTGGATGTCTGTCTGTTTCGATGTCGTCCGTAGTAACTTGTACAGAAAACACCATCTTAACTAACTGGTGAATTTTACAGAAACTTTACTTTATTGATCAGTTTATTATGTAGTTGTAAACCGGCATTTTAATTTCAGATTTTCACTCTTTTTAATGGAGTTACGGCCCTTTATGCGAAAAAAATTGTCCGGAAAACTCCTGTCTTAACTAACAGACATATTTTATTGAAACTTCACTTGAATGATCAGTATAGTCTATGCCCCTTTGTGCTAAAAATTTGTCCGTTCAACTCCTCCTTAATTAACAGGTAGATTTCATTAAAATTAGCATTGATAATCACTATCTGCTGTTTTTGGGCACCTGCATTTTAATTTCAGATTACAACATTTTCTAAGGAGGTAATGGCCCTTTGTGACAGAGTTATGCCCCTTTGTGCTAAAAACTTGTCCGTACAACTCCTCCTTACCTAACAGGGGGATTTCATTGACGATCACTATCTGATGTACTTGTGTACCAGCATTTTAATTTCAGATTTCAACACCGTCCAGAAATCTCCATCTTAACTGACAGGAAGATTTTTTTATTGAAACTTCACTTAAATGATCAGTGTCTCATTATATGTAGCTATGCACCCGTATTGTCCGTCCGTCCGTCCGTCGATCTGTTTACATTTGTTTGTCATCGCTCTACCGACTTTAATTCTGTTTGTATATTGATGAAACTTCGCCTATATGTAAAGAGCCAAAATCTCCCCAACGAGTTCCAATTTCAGTAAGTTGACCCCAAGGTCAAGGTCACTATATGATGTATAAAATACCAGCATCTGCGGGGGTATCAGTTATCCTCCGGATGACAGTTCTTGTCTAGCGTTTATTACCGGCTTAACCCAAAATTAAAAGTGACTATATAGCAGGCATCGACTCACTGCATACCATCTTCTTATTAATTACGTAAATATTCGTAAGGATACAGATATTCTCGCTACCTGACCAATTTTAAGGCGTTATTTGACTATGATACGTGTATAAACGATGTTAAACATTACTGGACTTAACATACAATTTTGGTGTTTATATCGTCGCTTCGTGTGCCACCATAACGACAAAACTGAAAACAAATACCTGATAGCAAATGTCAATAATTACGGTAGTTGTACCAATGTGATGCCCTCTATATCGGATAGTTAATGTCAGTTATTACGGTAGTAACAATGTGATGTCTAATATACCGGATAGTTAATGTCAGTAATTACGGTAGAACCAATGGGATGTCCTCTTTATCGGATAGTTAATGTCAGTTATTACGGTAGTAACAATGTGATGTCCAATATACCGGATAGTTAATGTCAGTTATAACAGTAGTAACAATGTGATGTCTAATATACCGGATAGTTAATGTCAGTAATTACGGTAGTAACAATGTGATGTCCAATATACCGGATAGTTTATGTTGGTAATTACGGTAGTAACAATGTGATGTCCTCTATACCAGATAGTTTATGTCAGTAATTACGGTAGTAACAATGTGATGTCCAATATACCGGATAGTTTATGCTGGTAATTACGGTAGTAACAATGTGATGTCCTCTATACCGGATAGTTTATGTCAGTAATTACGGTAGTAACAATGTGATGTCCAATACACCGGATAGTTAAGGTCAGTAATTACGGTAGTAACAATGTGATGTCCAATATACCGGATAGTTTATGTCATTTATTACGGAAGTAACAACGTGATGTCATCTATACCGGATAGTTAAGGTCAGTAATTACGGTAGTAACAATGTGATGTCCAATATACCGGATAGTTTAGGTCAGTAATTACAGTAGTTACAATGTGATGTCTAATATACCGGATAGTTAAGGTCAGTAATTACGGTAGTAGCAATGTGATGTCCTCTATACCGGATAGTTTATGTCAGTAATTACGGTAGTAACAATGTGATGCCCTGTATACCGGATAGTAATTACGGTAATAAAAATGTGATGTCGACAATACCGGATAGTTCGGGTCATTAATTACGGTAGTAGAAATGTCATGTCCACCATACCGGATAGTACAGGTCGGTAATTCCGGTACTAAAAACGTGACGTTCCCTATATTGGTAAGTTTAGGTCAGTACCTAAAATGAAAAAATGGCCAGTTGAGTTCAATAAGTACACTAGGACTAATGATGCGTTCTCTTCCCTTTTGAGTCACAGTAAGTGTCTTACTGACATTTGGAGTGTCTCTGGTCTTTCCCTCTACTCACTCTCTCTCGATACTTGCTCGGTCGTATCGTCAGTTTCATCGTCGAGGGCGACCTCATCATCATCGTCGTCATCTTCATCCGCAGCCAGGCCCTGTAGACATGCATGTAAAAAAAAAAAAAAAAAAAGTTAACGTTTCTTTACCTCATTGCCCAGGAAAAAACACTTCACAAAACACAGGATTCGCATTCACATTAGGGTTTACAAGGCTAGAATGACCAGTTCCGGAGGAATTTGTCGACACAAACATGTTGTGTTGTTCAGGAATTACGTAACGTGGGAAGATTTAGATTCTGACGGTCTTTGTAATCGTTACCACTTGTTTTCCCTGTTCCATCTTATAAGTGTGCACAATCCACATTTACTGAGATGTTTTAATTGACCCTTGGATTTCACTGACGCAACACATGCAGGTCTGTAATAAAGACGACATGTCTGGATTGTTGACATTCCAATACACATACAACCATTGATGTCCTGTGTATAATATAAAGTAGGAAAAGTGACTGATATTATTTTACTGTCTGGAAATGATTTTAATTATTCGTTTGTGAGCTCATGTCGGGTCAACGCTTAACTCCTATATTACATAGTCAAAAGTCTTGATGTTATGAGAATAAGTGAATATATTAATTGGTATTGTCCTTACCTGCTCCGGTATGTCCTGTATCGGGGAGGCCGAACGTGTCTGTTCGTCCGCCTGTAACGAGCAAATTCAATCATTCCGTTAGCAATGTAGTATAACATGTACATTTATAGACACAAGTTGGCCTCCGATATATGAAGCACAAATTAATAACTCAGAAACAATATTGTAACATGACTGATATTTGTTCTACAATTGGCATTTTATTAAATTTATACAAACACTTCCTGTACAAAATTGAGTTCTTCAGTAATGCTGTATGCTCCTTCGCACAGCTTAGCTTCTGTATTTTAATTGTGGTACAACAGTCTGGGTTATGATACGCTTGGTACACTGTAACGCGTGTTAGCGATTTTAAGTTAAACAGATTGCGTACAATTGCGTACTTTTATGAAACACTGAATTGGGTAAAACGAGGGATGACATCACAAACAGGAAAGTTCCGAGTCTGGAATATTTCAAATATTGATATAATTTCTCTTTACAACAATTGTTAAGCGATTTTTTCGCAGACTCGTAAAAAAGGTTATTTTGTTAGATCAAAATATTTTGTTTAACTTCAAATCAGATTGACACAAAATTTGTTAAGATTTCCCACTCCAAACAACGTCAGATCGATTGTCACCCCACCATCAGCATTTAAGGCTCCGCAAGTGCTGAAAAAATATAGTACTAACATAATAAGTGAAAATAAGGTGATACAAGAATAAAAAAAATAGGATATGCAGATATATAAAAAAAACACCAGTTAACTACATATAGCAATCTATATATTATGTTGGGGAACTAGGAGACGGGATTTGATATCGTACGTATGTATTTGCTGACCACGCAGTCAGTGCGCAAGCCAGTGCTTATCAGGTGTCGTCGTGTTCGGTCAACTCCATAGCGGCGTGTATCATTTACAGTTCGTCTTCAATCCACGTACGTTGCCAAGGTGAATCACGCTCCCGAGACATCGAAGATTGATGGACGTTGTTGTTTTATATGTTGATATGGACAATGTTCATCCGACATCGTTAAACAAAAACTAGGAGCTACGAAAGGGTGTCAGTTATCATTTAGCACATGTTTACTTATAGATAGAATTTTAACTTACAAGACAACTCACATTTACATACCTACACTGTTTACATGCCTACATCTGTAGCACGCGCATTTAATGGGTCAGTAATTACTTTAACAACTTGGAGAACGACTCCGTGTTAATGCACATAGGCACACGTTATTATCATATATAGCTGGAACCTGTACATGTGCTGTTCGGTCAGTCGGCACTAAACGTTAAATCAACGTGCTGATTAACGGTTCATCTGCAGGCTGATTTGCGATACAGTATTTCAGTTTCTACTGTCGACAGAAACAGGCTTTGTGCTAATTTGATGAAGATACAGTCACAGTTTGGTTAAAGATCATGTAGAGGAACAAAATAATTTCGAGTCGAGTCCGTTTAGAGTCCACGCGAGATTTCACCACACAGCCAGTAACGTGGCAAAACTTTCAACTTTCTACAGTTTAGACGTGTGTCCTAACATTTAAAAAGTACATTGTTGCACATTTCAAGCATCTGTAAGTGAATTGCTATGGCATTAACGGTTCATGTCATTGACACAGGCCAGTCTATGATTAATGTAACGTGCAGTCATGTAGACAACAAAGTGCTTCCGTTTTAGTTTATGTCTGTGTTGTTTCGGGTTAGGTTTCACCGGAAGTGAAATAAAACACGTGATGTAGGAGGCGAGAAGAAGTTCCTACGGTGAATGCATTCGGTAAAAACGGTCCCAAGATGACCCAAGGAACGTAAATCTCACAAACGATTACACTTTTGTCAAAAAAGGAGCAGTTTAGTTTCCGGAATTTTAACTGATGATGTACATTTTACTGTTGTATACAATGAGTTCAAACATAAACCAGACACATCACGTCAATGACTAACCTTTCGCCAGGGAAAGCTGTTGAATATCAGCTGTTTTCACAGGAAATAGCCTTTACAGTCTGTGTTATGCCAATAAAACTTTTTAAGAAATATTGTTCGGGTTTCGATGAATGAATCCACTGGTGAATTGTAGGTATTTGTTAGATCTTTTGACTCGCTCTAAATGAAATCCACATGTTGTGAAGTTTTGTTTCTTTCACTTGAAAGCAAGATAAGAAAATGATATGTTTTAACTGTGCAGCCGACATTTGTTATATTAAAAGACGTACAATTAGAAAAAGAATTCCAATGCTCTTTGGAAAACTTAAATATTTATCTTGCTGTTCTAATTCCATCCAGACGATGGAATGTGTATGATAAATATTTATCAGTTAATTCATCAAAGTTAGCGAGTTTGCCCGACTCTGTCCGATCATCAAACTTGAACCAGACGGGCACCTGTTAAAGTCGGTAAATATGACCCGGATTAACTGTATTCAAACTGTTCCGACAAACAGACGCTGTGACAAGCCACAGAGTATCAGTGTGTGTAGTAACTGGCCTTCATTAACAGCACACTTGAGTATCATGTAACTGTTTTTACCCCCCGAAAACGACTTTTGATGATATTATTTTTGAAACAGTTTCACGTTGATGTCCAGTAGTATCCTTCCTACTGGCTGCTCGTAGTTTTCTTTTATGTACGGAAATACACGAGAAGACAACTGGTCTGTTCTAGCCATTTCGCCGTCTTTTTCCTTAGTGATTATTTCTACAATTGATGAGGAATTGTTCAATGCTGTCAAAAATAAATTAATCAATCTCCGTAAGAGTATTGGATCCGGCAGTTTCCGTCATTATTGCAGCACGCTAATACTACGAACCACTAAGATCAAGATTGTATTTGCTTCATCAGAAGAAAAAATAACTTATAGAATTCAGATAATTACCTTTATTACATACTTACTAATAAATACGGTTTTTTTTGTATATGCGATACGACACAATTGCTCTAACCATATCAGCCCTCGCTGTATCACACCCCAAAACCCGTATCAGCCCCCGCCGTATCACACCGCAAAACCCGTATCAGCCCGCAAAACCCATATCACACCCCTTTTGGGGAAAAAAAATCGTTTTTCAATATTTCAAAAATAGAAATAAATCATAAGATGGTAGTTTTTATTAGTAAGTATGTAATAAACAGAATAAAACACGCCTTTTTCCATATAACACCCAGTATCAACCCTTGACCAATATCAGCCCTCGGGCCTTCGGCCCTTGGGCTGATATTGCAGTCTCGGGTTGATACTGGGTGTGATATGGAAAAAGGCATGTATTATTCTCTACTGGAAGCTAATTATGCCGGTGGTGGAGTAGATACGTCTGCACATTATAATATTTAAATACCTAATGGTTTCTGTTCCTTTTCCAGATTTAATTGATCTAAAGCCTCATCCAAAAGAATCCCTTCACCAAATACTACCTATACAGAATGTGCTGTTTTATGAGATCTTACATCGTCACTTCGTCATTTCCTTACAATTACACAGTGTATGTAAATGACGTCACGCCTATTTGCATCTTTTCCTCAACTTCGTCATTATTCGTCAAAACTGTATGCCCACTATTTTGTCAATAAGGAAAAAAACATACAAATTTTACGTCTTTTTTACTGTCAGAAACTATAGAAACATTTAATTGAAATAAGCACGTACAATGTATACATATTTTTATACATGTTATGAAACAGTAGCAGACTCATACTGCAGCTACATATATATAGTACTTGATATATGTTGTGATAGTTATTGTGCAGGTTTTGACATCAACATTACCTCGACATACAACCAGAACGTCTAGCAAAACAAATCCCTGTACTTCATCCGTGGTTTCCCCCCCATTTTGTCCATATTTGTACTTGTGTGTAATATGTGTTTTCTTCTGTAGCCATTAGCTGTTTTCCATTAGCAAAGCTTTTGTAACATCACCTGTCGTTCGAGAAAGAATAACTGCCCCGCTGTATCCCATGGCAATATCTTATGAGGCAACGAATGTGATATTCCCACATTAGTCGCCTCGTACGATAATATAGCGGGATATAACAGGCGGATTTCTCTATCAACCTGTAGGGTAACTGAATTAGTAAAAACATTTAGCCAAGATTAAAGTACTAGTTTGTTAAATGTTGGTCTGTCTGTATCACAAACACGTGCAGGAATATGTGTGTAGATCTTACCTTGATGAGGGCGCATGTCGCCAGTAACAGAAGAATCAGCGCCGACAGGGTTTTCATGGCGGCGATCTACAACACAAAGGTGTATATGACACATTCTTAAAGCATAAAGTTGTGATACAATAAATAAATATGTCAGTGCCACAAGAGACATATAAATATGTGACACAACAAATATCCTGATGATACAACAAACAAAAATCCTGATAATACATCAGAAAAATGTATCGTTGATACAACAGACTAATACATCGGTGATACAACAGACAAATATCCCGGTCATACAACAGACTAATACATCGGTGATACAACAGACAAATATCCCGGTGATACAACAGACAAATATCCCGGTGATACAACAGACTAATACATCGATGATACAACAGACAAATATCCCGGTGATACAACAGACAAATATCCCGGTCATACAATAGACACATGTTCCTGTGATACAACAGACACATATCCCGGTGATACAACAGACAAATATCCTGATGATATAACAGAAAAATGTATCGATGATACAACAGACAAATACATCGGTGATACAACAGACAAATATCCCGGTGATACAACAGACAAATATCCCGGT